AATCAAGAGCAAAAATATACATATAAAAAAATTGGCCTTAAATTTTTATCAATAAACCAAGATCCATATCAATGCAAAATATCCATCTCTATAGCATAGCCTCCTTTAAATGTAAACAAACATTTATAAAAAATATTTGGGAATATGGGCATAGTTCTCTCCAAACTGGTTCCTGCTTTTTGTTGGGTGAAGTATTTTTTGGGTGTTTATGGCGTCCTTTCAGGAGGTCTTGATCTACAAACCACATTAGTCTGGAATTAATCCACAGGTTCTCATCCTCTGTGGAAACAAAAGCAGAACCTCTTTTACAAAGCAACAAATTCTTAGACCCAAATTTTGAAGTTAAGATACTTTTAGAGTATGGCTTAATTTAACAGTCTCTACAGTGAAATACCTCTCTGTATTTAGTGCATTCACAGTCAAAAAATTCAAAGAAAACACAATAATATACATAATCCAGACTCTGTGCATATTCCATCTTTATATGGCTTATTTTTGTATTACTTTTTCTGCAAGTTTAACATTTATTTTGTTATCTTTACTCCCTTAATCTATGACTGTCTGTACTCTGTCTCTTTAAAGACTTTATTAAACTCTCTATACTCTTTTTCTTCTCTTTCCCAAGCCTATGTACATTTTTAAACACACGGTGTCTCATTTAGAGGTCTTTTATGTCTGAATCCGTCCTTATTGTGTATCTGTAATCCTTTTCTGACCAGGACAACTTCTTAAAATGCTAAGCGCTTCTTAAAAACCTAAGCGGCAGCATTGCTAGGGCAAACATGGCCCTGCTTCTTGCTCCGCCCAGTCCAACATGATGGAAGTCCATTCACTGCCTCTGAGACTGCCAGGAGGGAGCCTTCCTCACCACCTCAACTCTGATAACCTGTTGGTCTATGCTGCCATCAAGTAACTTGCAGCATACTGTCCACAAACCCTATTTAAATGCTCAGCCTCCTGAAAGAGCCAGAGTTTGTGCTGGCAGCACGGCCTAGAAAGTTGCCATTTCAAAACCGTGTGGCTTTTTTTGTGCTACCACTGAATCAGGAAAACTTCTCTTAAAGGAGCTGCAGCATGCTGCCAGCAAGCAAAGCCCATTTGGGGAAAAGAAATGTGGCTGAAGTTTGTCTTTTAGTGTCTAGAATTCCTTTTTAAGCTTTCTCAGATTTTACTTGGATTTAGCTAGCACACGTTAGAGCGTCAATTTGTTGTAGGTGGCTGCTTGTTTGTTTCCCGGCCACCCAGCAGCTCAGACCCAAAAAAAATCATACAGCAACCAAATTATTTGTAATACTGTTTGGCCAATAGCTTAAACATATATGTAGCTCACTCTTACATCATTATTTAACCCATTTCTATTCATCTGTATACTGCCACGAGGCTGTGGTTTAGCAGCATACAGAGGGTAATCCCACATCATTGTGCCTTTAATCTCAACACTCAGGAGACAGAGACAGGCAGATCTCTGAGTGGCCAGCCTGGTCTACAGAGTGAGTTCCAGAACAGCCAGGACTACACAGAGAAACCACTGCCTCAGGAGAAAAAAGAATTAAAAAAAAAAAAAGAAAAAAGAAAAGAAGCAAAATCCATCTTTCTGTTTCTACAAAAAAAAATTCATCTTCTCTGTTTCTGTTTTCTTCTTTTTTAAAATAAAAAATGTGGCTTTTTTTATTGAGAGCGATCAGACTTTTTATACCCTTATCTGAAACAGAATACAGGAATAGAGTGGCAATTGCCAGGACCGACACAGTGACATCTGCAAGCTGTACGGGTTACAGAAGATTAATGTCTAAAACCAATCGTTGAGTCAAGCTTCTAAAGGAACATACAGAGAATCACAAAGCAGCATGAACACTCCAATGCCTGAGGGAGAACCTTTGCTTCTCGGGAACTGGAAAACACACAGTGACCCAGGAACCACGGACTCTAACCTGAAAAACCTCTGAGTCATGCATCTCCAGGCAGCTAGAGCAGGCCAACGCCATGACTCCCTGCAGTAGCCTACTGCGACAGATCCTATCCTAGGACACAGATCACAGCAAATAAATACATGTTCTGAGCGCAATGCAATAAAACTTAAAATCAACAGTGAAAAAATATCTAGCAAGTCCACAAAATCATGGAGATTGAACAATTTGTTATTGAATAGTAAATGGGTCAAAGAAGAAATCAAAAGAGAAAATGTGAACATCCTGGAACTAAATGACAATGAAAACCCAAGACAAAAAAAACAAAACAAAACAAAAACAAAAAACTTCTGAGACACATTAAACGCAGACCTATGAAGGGAGAGGTGATGGTGCATAACTTCAATTCCAGCGCTCCAGAGGCAGAGGCGGGTGACCTCGGAGGTCGATGCCAGCCAAGGATACACAGAGAAACACTGTTTGAAAAAAAAAAAAAAAACTAAAATGTGTATGATACAAAAAACAAGAGTCAACCCTATCTTGAGTAAAATGAACAAAAGCTAAGGACATTGTCCTAATTCCAATCCATACTACAAAGCTTGCAGTAATCAAAATGGCAAAGCAGACATATAGACCAATAGAGAACCTAACATTAAACTGACCCACAGGACAGAGGACTTCAGCCCTCCCACACTGGCATCCAAAGCTCTGGTAAATCACCTTGGATCATAGAGTTTATGTGTGTGGAAAACTTGTCTGCTCCGGTTTGGTTTCAGAGTTTTGTAGACCCCAGTTTTTGCACTGCATTCATTGAAGTTGAAGGACCTCTACAATTAATTTTATCATAGGGGAAAAAAATTTTATACACTCCATATAATACTCTGGAAGTGATATTTCTATAGACATTCCAATATAACCACACAATCACACACACACACAGCCTTAGGAACAAAGAATAACCCAACCTTGATAAGATTATAAATTATAGTCCAGTGTAGGAAGGTAGCTCAGTGAAGCACTTACCATTGTATTAACACACAATGCTTCATAATAAAAATGAAGCACTTAGCCTGTAAAAGCTCCAATCTTTTGAGTTAACATGTGCACTTAAAAGTGGTAAAAGTGAAAGGACCCAGCCAGCGGCCTAACAGGCTGTTTGGCCTTCTCTCAGAGACCAGGCTTCCATTTCAGTTTCCTGAGGCTGAGCAAGCAATTTCTGAAAGAGCGGCAAACAAAGGACAATTCCCAACACCCCCACAGCGAAGAGGAGGCCTGGCACATACAGTACCAGACGAGGTCTGAGCCACAGTCAGCAACTCAAGGACAAGGCCTGGGACTTGTCCAAACCTGCTCAAAAATGGAAAACTGTAGATCTGACCAGCCCTACTAGCCCTGGCCAATTAGAACACAAATATGATTGCCATTTGTGTGAGCCAATTCCAGATAAAATGACCTCACTGCCTTCGGACCTCCCTTGTCTAGGCTTAAAAGGAGCCTGCGAGCTCCTCGCAGATCGGCCCCAGCTGGAATAAAGGCTCTCGCTGACTGTGTATGCACACAGGTGGTGGTCTTTTGTGGGACTTCTCCAGGACCCTAACATTGAGAATTAAAAACTTTTAAAAGTTGTGCATCAAAATACTTGGGATTCTGGCAAAGCTGTAAATGGAGATAAGCAAAATCTTGTGTTGTCAGAACAGGGTCCAGGAATGAGAACCCTGAGTGCTTGTGAGAACACTCCCAGAAGTAAGAGTCCTGTGGCCTGTTTCTTCAAAACCGATTGCTCTTCAGATGTCTCCATGCTCCTCCCGGGAGTAACAGAGTCATGAGCTCCCTTCCGACTCGTGTTTGCTTCCTGCTGCTATTCAACTGAATGGTTAACCCATCCTTTCTATGATTCTATGAAAAACATGCTTATGCCACAGATGGCCTGTCCTTGTGACTGTACACCCTACTCGTGATGTTCTTAATCCTCAGAGGATCGATTGTCTGGGGCTCTGAATGAAGTTGGCTATTGCTTGAGACTTGAATCCACTTTGTTTATCGGCTCCATCCTCCCATCCTTCCAGAGGGTGACAAATCCCGTCTCCATTAAAACAGAGACTAAAGCTTTGGAGACGGCACAGGAAAAGCATGATCCCCAAGTAAGCAACTAAATAAGACAAAAAGTACCTGGGGACTAAGGCAAATCGGAGGTCGCCGCTTGGGAAAGCAAGCCAGCAAACATAAGACTGTGACAACATATTTAAAATGTGGGTATCTTGAGGTTTTGAAGCACGGGCTCACTAATTAAGTAGCCTGGCTGGCCTAGAACTCACAATCCTGCCCCAGCCTCCAGAGTGCTATTACAGGCAAGCCTCAACACACCTGACTGGAGGTTTGTAAAATTAAAGCTGTGAACAGAGCTAAGCAAAATCTTGTGTTAGTTTGGTTGTTGCTCATTTTGTTTTGGTTGCTCTTCAGTTGATTGCTTAGACAGGGACCTACTTGCAGCCCCAGCTGGTCTGGAATTCAGAGCCCCATCAACCCCTGCCTCCCAAGAGCTGGGATTAGCAGTGTGTGCCACTACACCCGGAAAACCATGGGTTGGTAAAGGAAAAACAAAAACAAAAAACATGACTGTTACAAACTATCCAATAAAATCCAATCATCCGAACTTTAAAGATTCTAAAATGGAAACTGAACTTCTTTAAACAATGTATTCATGAACCCTAGACAGCAAGTCTCATTAAAACCAAGAACAACTGGTCAGTGAGATGGCTCAGCAGGTCAGTGAGATGGCTCAGCAGGTCAAAGCCTACTGGCCTGAGTCCAATTGCTGGACCCCAGAGTAGGACAATCGACCCCAAAAAGTTGTCCTCTGAGCTCATACATGTGTAGTGACATACACGTTCACAGCCCTACACACAAATCATAAGCACAACAATATTAATAAAAGTCCTTAAATTCAATAAGCATATTAACTCTACTGAACGTCATTTCAAAGTTCTAACCATTGAGATAATAAAATAAACCCAGCTGAGGAAGATACAAAAGTTAAGCGAAAATACAATACATAGTGTTCAAAGCTAAAAAGAAAGACAATAAAGCAAAAGGTTTTCACAAAAATGCTTTATTTCTCTAGTTGCTATTTCTTATAAATAACTCTGGCAACATTAACAAAATAATTACTTTTATTTGAAAAAGAAGCAACAGACTTCACAGAGTAACAAAATAGTAATCTTGACAGCTATTTAAGACGTGTGTAAACAAACCAAAGTGACATTGCTTTAAAAATAGATAGAGCTCTCCGCATAAAACAGAGAGCTTCCCAACACTCGGCTCACTATGCTTCTGTGTTATAGGCACGGAAATGGACTTAAGCTAGCTCACTTCGAAGACAGAACCAAAGCTCTTGCTAATGATTTATTCCTGAAGTTCTGTGACTAGGAAACTTAGCTAGATTGCAGAGGGAAGAGAGTTGCAGCAAGAGGTAAGTTGCCTTCAAAAAGAAGGGATAAACAGGACTTCAAAAGCGGGCGAAGTTTCTAGTCCTCTAAAAACCTCGACAAGCTCGATAAACCACGCGTGAGGTAGCAAGCCATGCAGGCCTAGGGGAGAGCACTGAGGAAGCCTGTGCAGTCTTTGCATAGGGAAGAAACGAGAAGAAACGGGAATCTGAGGAATAAGGCCAATACAATAGGTCAGAATAGTGCAGCAGCGGGGAGATGCTGGGAAGGGGCAGCAGATGGGAGGCAGGGCAGGCTCTGGGGCCGGCTCCCGGCCAGAGCCCTGGGGCCTCCTTGAGCAGTAAACAACAATCCATACTCCTTAGGAGCATGCTTAAGTGAAATAGCAAAGGATAGCCAAGGTGCTGGCGACACTAAGCGCTCACTAAAGATGGGTCTGAGGTGGTTCTTATTTTTTTTTTTACCACAGACAGCACACAAGTCTGCAGATTCATTCAAGCACAGTAGGACAAACAACCCTTTCCACATCTAAAGGAAAGGGACGGGGTAAAAAGTTAGTGTGCCTTGGCCCAAGAAAACTCATTCAAAGGGCCTATCAAAATAGTCAAGATGCAGACCACAATCAATCCATAGGTGAAGCACGAGGAAATCAAGACACCAAAAGATACGAGCAACCTCTCATCTCCCTCAATCGTAACAGAGATGCCGGGGCCTGGTGATGGCCTCTTCCCAGTTTTCCATGAAATCTAAGGAAACTTCTGTAGACTGAGGAGGGAAGAGGAACTAGGGGCAACTAAAGTACCCATCCCCACTGCCCCTTTCTTCCTTTTGGCTCTAAGGGACAGGGTCTTGCTGTGTAGTTAGCTGGGCCAGGAACTTGCTGAACGGCCCAGGCTGACCCTTCTGCCCCAGGCCCCCAAGAGCAGGCCACCAGTGTGTGCTACCACACCCAGCAAGAAAAGGTACTTTTAAAGAAAAAGGGGAGACTCAGGAGATTTTTCCAGACCCATGTTTATAACCAGCGTGCATCCAGACTCCTTGACCGATAAAAAGCAGCAGCTGGGCACCTGGGCTAGACATGGAGGAACAGTAGGCGGCCCCGGACCAGGCTGGAGACAGCCCTGGAAACTTCTACAGAAACGGCTAAGACTGCTGAAGCTGCAGTCCTCAGAGGGTGCCCTACTTGTTCCTCCTAGTGACCAGCTGAGTCGTATGATACAGTCTTCTTCATTTAGGACGTATCTTGCACACCCAAGTGCTTCAAGTAAGACCCAAGCAATATTAGCGTGATCAACTGGGAAATTACACACACAACAAAAGGAACGCACGTCATTATAATCACTCAAATATGAGGCAAGACACAAACTGGGACTAGGGATCTAGTTCAGTGGCAGAGCCCTTGCCTGGTACACGTAAGGCCCTGGGTTTAATCCCTAGCACCAGGTGGGGACAAAAAAGCACCACATCACCACACTCACGCTTCACATGGTCAATAACCATAAGCTATACATACGCTGAAAAACGTAGTGAAAAGGCTCCACCATGGGCATAAATCCTAGTCGCCCTGGGCTATTTCTTTGTGCTATGTCCAGTATCACTGGGCAAGTCCCTACTACAGTTGAGAACTAAACTTTACTTCAGTCCAGGTCGCAAACCGGACAGATGCCATTTTTCTGAACCTTTTTAATTAAAACTAAGGTTCAATACACTTCAAACAACAAAGGCCAAGGCTTCTTTCCCTGGGAAAAAGACAATGCACTTAACTGCTCTGGTCAGTTCATTCTTTAAACGCAGCTAGCCAGACGGGAGAAGAGAGGGCATGAATCTCACTACCTTAAAGTATCAGGCAACAGGAACTCCGTGGACACCGGGTCCCATTCTTGCTACTTCAGGTGGCACTAAGGACACACTGCTGTGTTTTTAATGTTCGTAAGGGCCTTTTACAAAACATGGACATTTTACAAGAATGGTTTGGCCTCCTTGGATCTTCTCTTCGGTAAGGACATTCAGGCAGTACTCTTAATCTTTGGCTCCAAGACTGGAATGAACGTATGCCCATCCACTTACCCATGCTAAGCCTCTCCCTCCTGCAGCAAGCATTAACTACCTATATATAGATCTTCATGGAGAGGTGAAGCCGTGTGAGCCCCACCAAACACCACACTTTTAGGCAGAAGAGCTCTCAAGCTTAGGAGTTACATAAAAATACTAACAAATAGGTTTAACTTCTGTTTCCCATTCACGAGGATACAGGCATAAGCACCTTCCTTGTGTTGAGCCAAACAATCTTAAAAAAAAAATAACACTCACTGCTCATTCAGTAAACACTGCAGGTCGGAGAATGGGGCGACAGAGAACTTGCTTATTATTTGTGAGGCCCTGGACCCAGCCCCAGCACTAAAACAGGACAAAATAAACCCTCACAAAATAAAAACAAATGAACAAACAAAAACCCTGCATTATCACAATTTTTAAAAAAAAAAAAAAAGTTCCCTTATGAATAACAAATGTATAGCTTGCACTCTCATCTCTAGGAGGGGTTCTGGGTGCTGACTCAGATCAGTGGGACCTTTGGGAAGGTCGACCCTGAGATCCGGGGGAAGACGGCTCCCAGTCGGTTGTGCTCACAGTGATCGACGCTACTTTCACAGATTCTGATTGCGCAGGCTCCATAGACACCTGAATGACAACCTTGGTATCAGGAGGCAGCCCTTCTAGCTGCTGAGGCTTCTTAAACGTTTGATGACACCGCGTCTTATGCTCCATTTTCTCCTTGAAGGTTAAAAACTGCAACCGACACTTGGAACACTGGTGACCGCTCCTTTCCCAGTGGCCCCTGTAGTGACACATGTACGGCGCGGCAGTTTTGAAGACCTTAAGACAAAACGGACACAGTAGGTTCTTAGTGTTAACATGGCACTTCCTAAAATGTGTCTCCACGTCGGCAAAGGCGGACGACCTGTAGTTACAGATCTGGCACACGTAGGGCATCTCCCCGGGCTTATGATTGTCCTTCATGTGCTGTAGCAGAACGTGGTCTGTCTCAAACGACAAGTCACAGATTCTGCAGACGGTAGTGGGGTCGGGGGCGGTGTGCACACGGTCAACGTGACACTCCAGCTGGAAGGGGGAGGGGAACTGGCGGTGGCAGTGCTGGCAGGTGGTGTGGGTCTCCCAGCCATCGTTCCCTTGCCTCTCGAGTTCCAAGTGATGTTTGGCATGATTCATAAACTTGACATTTTTTAGCGCTTTCAAGCACTCAGGGCATTTGAAGGTCGTGTGCGTCTTCTGCTCTGGCTGCCCGTCTCCTCTATGCTGTCCATAATAAAAGTCACTAAGTAACAAGGTCAAACTTCCCTTCCTGGGATCCAAGGTCTCTAGACGGGCTAGACTTGAAAAGCCCACTCCTGTCGGTCCTTTCTCCTGGCGAGGGTGTGCGTTTGCAGGACTGACGTAGAGGACTGGAATCGGTGCTCCATTCACAATGTGGTTAAGAGGTCTGGGAACATCTCTGGAGCATGGACTCGGCTGGGGACTCAGGGTATAGAAAGTACCCGAAGTTGACGATGCTGATGAATGTTCTTCTTCAATTTCAATAATTTCAGGCCTCTGCGGATTTATGACAGTGACTTCAGAAGAATGGCACTTCGATACATAAGAGCTCTCATTTAAATCTCCTGCTGAAAGTGCTGCCCTTACTGGACGAGGCTTCGAACTGGAGATTATAACCAAAGGGGAACCCTCTGAGGAGCTTTCAGGCACAATCTGTGGTGAATTACTTCTATAATCAGGTTCGGACAAAGGGTCGATAATAATAGGACTATCTGTTGACCTTGACTCAGCCGGAGATTCCGGCAAGACAATCACTGTGTCCGAGCTGGGGGCTGCAGGACCTGAGGGCAGCTGTCTCGGAGGAGTAGCTGTTGTCAGGCAATTTCGTTTTCTTTTCAACCGTGAACCTGGGGTGACCCTGTTCAAAATGTTCGAATTAGCAGGTTTTGAACTTGAACTCGTTCCAACGAAGATCAGTTCGGGGTCGTGACGTCCATGTTCAACCCCTACAAAGATGAGCTCGGCGTCCTCGTCGTGGGCTGGACTGGGCTCTCCGCTGCGCAGCATGTACGGCTGCTCCATTTCTAGCGTTCTGGGTCCTGACGGGTGAGGGCACGAGTCTCAGTGCCTCCTCTATTCACACTGCCACCTGAGAACAAACACATCACACATCAGCACAGAAGGACTTGTCCTCACGAAAGACTCTGAGGTGGTTGTAAACACTCAGGTGCTCATTCAGTGCCACTGCCATTCTGCCCTCCAGGCCCACCCCAGCCAGTCACACTAGGGGACTTTCTAGGACTTCACGCAATCCTACTGTACCCTTAAGACCCCTGCAACACATTCATTAACAGTGAGCTGGAGCTACCCCAGTCTCTCCAGTCAATCACGAACACTGAGTATCTCAAGGACTAACCAGTTCACTCCTACCGGCCTTGAAATGAACAAAGCTCAGACAAGAGCAAAAGCAGAATCGCACTCCTATGCCACAAAAAGGCTCTGGAGATTAAACTCAGGCTGTCACACTTGGCACCAGTGTGCACCTGCACCTGCTGAACCATCTCACCAAGCATAACCTTACCTATAAAAATTAAACTAGCGTCTAATATATATCTCGCATGACATATTTTAATTTGAATATTAGTATCTAACTTGTAACATATTTATTCCTATAAACACCTTGGAAGTCAACTAAAAATATGTTCTATTAAGTATAATAAAAATTATCTGTCCTTTCCCTCATTACTCTATTTACATATTTTATTTTCCCAATGCTGGTAAAATACATGTAAAACACTAAGAAAACAGTGAAGGCATGAAACTTAGAGTCTGGTGTGAGATACATAGCATGTTTCACAGCTAAAATTTAAGATCAAGAAAATACACACACACTTCCTGCCACAACAATATGGACTGAACCTCTGAACTGTAAGCCACCCTCAATTAAATGCTTTCCTTTATAAGAGTTGTCATGGTCATAGTGTCTCTTCACAGGCATAGAAAACCTAAGACAACAAACAAACAAAAATCTAAACCAGAATGACCACACTCTTTCTGTTAGAACAAGTATCAGAAGGTAATTTGAAAAGTAATATGGCTATCAGGCATCTGTAGCCCAAGAAAATTTATATATTGAGGGTTTTCACAAAGCCCTCCTTTTACTCGATTCCTGAATTCTAGTTTAGATGATATGAGTCTATTACAGAAGAGGTCCTAATGACTCCACCAGATAAATCTTCAGAACTAATAAGCACTTTTAGGGGGCAAAAACACAGGATTAAGATTAACAAAAATCAATATGCTTCCTATATACTAATGACAAACACACTGAGAAAGAAACCAAGAAAACAATTCTACTCAAAATCGCCTCCAAATGAACCAAGAACCTTGGAATAAACCTAATCAAGACGTGCGTGAACTCTAGAGACCTCAACAATGGACATTTTAAAACACTGAAGAAAGAAATTCAGGTAGATATTAGAAAATAGATGGACCGCTCATGATCATGGATCAGAAAAGTCAGTGTCATGAAAATGCCCATCCTACCAAAAGTCATCTACAGATTCAATGCAATCCCATCAAACCCCATGAAATTCTTCAAAGACACAAAAAATAATCTTAATCTTAAGTATCATAAGACCCAGAGAGACAAGGTAACCTTGAGCAAAAACAATACTTATAAAGGTATCAACATCCTTATTTCAAGTTACACTGCAAAGCCACAGTGATAGAAATAGCATGGGGCTGGCACAAAAACAGGCATCAATCAATAAATAAACCAGGACACAGACACGAGATCGTACAACTTCAGCCACCTGATCTTTGACAAACACTGGAGAAAAGACAGCATCTTCAATACGCGGCACTGAGAAAACGGGATATTTATATGTAGAAGAATGAAACTGATCCCTCTCTTGCACTGTGGACAATAAATTCGGTGTGGGCCAAGAACTAACACAAGATCTGAAACTACTAGAGGAAAATGCACTGAGTTCATTTCAAGACATAAATGTAGGTGCTAACTTTCTGGATACAGCATGTTTATGTCTGAACACCTGATTTCAACTTGTAAGTCAGTTTTACATCCTCTTTAGGAGTTAACAACTGTAGGTATCCAGGATACCTTCCCTTCACAGCTATAGGTATAGCCTGGCTCCCGACAGTCAGAGAATCTTTCTCTTCAGAGCACTTCAAGTGAGGGTACCTACCTACCGGGCCTGATTCAATCCTCAGGCCAGAACTAGCCCATCCAGGAAATGTAGGTAATAACTTTATGACTAAGACTCAAGTCACATGCAAAATAAGAGCAATAACTGACAAATGGGATCTCATGAAACTAAAAGGCCTCTGCACAGAAAAGAACTTGCCAGTTGGGTGAACGGGAGAAAAACCTCTGCTAGCTCTACATTCGACAGGATTATTATCTAAACTACACAAAGAACTCGAAAAACTAAACATCAACAACACAATCAAATACTAGACTATGGAACCGAACAGAAAGTTCACAAAAAAAATGCAAATGGCTAAGAAACCATTTTTTTTAGTTCAGCATCATTGCGAATCAGAGAAATATAAATTAAACCTACTTTGAGATCCCATTTCACCCCAGTCAGAAGAAGACGAATGACAACAAATACTGGCAAGAATGTCCGTTAGAGGAATGCTTATCCACTGTTGGGGGGACTGTTAATTGGTGCAGCCATTATGGAAATCAGCACAAAGGTTTCCCGAAAAGCTAAAAACAACTTCCACAACGCCCTGGTTAATTCCAATCATCGACACAACCAAGAGACTCCTGGGAAGAGGAGGTTGCAAGTGAGGGATTGGCAGGATCAGACTCACCTGCTAACAGCACTGTGGCCGGTGCTATTCTCGGGCTCCTGGGTTGCGGAAGAAAGCTAACTGGCTAAATCTAAGCCGGGGAGTGTCACGAGATACCATTCCCCTGTGGTTTCTACTTCAGTTCCTCCTTGAGTTCCCTCCCCTGATGATGGACTGTAACCTGGAAGTAGAAGGTAAAGTGTCTATCCAGGTACCGTATCTCACTACAGAGACACCTGCATGTCCATGGTCACTGCTGCTCTATCCCCAACAGCTAGGAAATGGATCTGCCTAGACATCAACCGACCGATGAATGAATAACAAAACTGGTATATACATGGATGGGATTTTATTCAGCTGTAAATACACAAAGAATGATGAAATTTTCAGGAAAATGGACAGAACTGAAAAATACACTGAGTGAGGTAACCCAGACCCAGAAAGACACTGGGTTTCTCTCCTTTATGGATCCTAGCTTTGAACTTTTAGTTGTGCATGGAATTTGAAGCCGTCAGGGGGCTATAGAGATCACATGAGATGGGGGGTGGGGGAGGACAGAAAGCTTTACCCAGAGGCTGGGGGTAGGGAATGGCAGAACTGTTATAAATGTAGAGGGGGGAGATACCAAGGGCTAAAGCTTTCAGGACAATGGTACAGAGTGGAGGATTGTGGCGGGATGTTCATTACAACTGAGGACACATGGAAAAGTCTTGTGGAAACGCACTGCTCCATAGGCTAACTTAAATACATTAGTTTAGCGAGGTGGAGAGATGGCTCAGAGGTTGAGAGCACTGGTGCTCTTCCAGAGGTCCTGAGTTCAATTCTCAGCAGCCACATGGTGGCTCACAACCATCTAGAGTGAGAGCTGGGGCCTTCTTCTGGCCTGCAGGCATACATGCAGGCAGAACACTCCATACATAATAAATAAACCCTTAAATACACACACACACACACACACACACACGTTTACTTTAAGTTAAGTTTAAACAGAGGCACCCTACAACATGAGTGAGCAATACTTCCTCTAAAAAACATGGGTTATTGTTGATTGAGTTTTCTGTCCTGCCTGGTTCCCGCAGTTGTTACGTCCCAAAGAAATCATACAGAGGTCTACATTAGTTATAAACGGATTGGCCCATTAGCTCAGGCTTCTTATTAACTCTTATATCTTACATTAGCCCATTATTCTTGTCTATGTTAGCCATGTGTTTCGGTACCTTATTCAGCGAGGCAGTCACATCTTATTTGTTCAGTGGCTGGGTCAGGACTGCAGAAAAAGCTTCCCTCTTCCCAGAATTCTCACTATCCCACCTCTACTTCCTGTCTG